TGAATTTATCTGCCTATGTGTTTGCTCATGAAGAGCAGCATTTATCAACTTTTTACTTATTTTTCTACAACACTAAGTTTGCCTAAATCTACAAAATTTATTTATTTATTTAACTGTTGTCGGGTCCACTTCTGTCGGAAAAACAACCTCTGTCCACAAGTTAACCATCTGGTTTTCAACAATTTAATTTATCTGAAGACGCCAAACCCAAACTTACTGCCTATAATTCAATACGCCCACCACGGTTTTCTCTCGAAATGGCAAACTTCGGTTTACGTATGACGCAACATACGCCACTTTCGCTTTCTATCCAGTTAAGCTTTAACCAACGAAAACTCACGGGTGCTTGCTTAACCATATGTTTGTGCTAAATGCCCTTCAGTTGACTCTTGTTCCCTCTAATCAACCAATAAGAATTTGCTTTGCGTGCCAGCATGCTGGCGTACAATTTGGTGGCACCAAAAACGGAACGCTCTTGCCAGCCATGACATTCTGTCGATTCCACTCTGGTTTTTCGCTTGTACTGGCTCTCTCACAATCACAGGTATTTGAGGATTCTGTTCCACTGGTCCGAAGCTGTCCTATTCTGAACGAAATTCGCCTTGCCGAAGAGATTAAAGAATTAACAATAGAGGTAGCTACAATTCTTGTTGACACTCTTTACACGGTCCGTTAGGTAATGGACAGTGGTCGGCTTCACGTTCACCGCATCATACTAGCTGCTCACATTCCCTCATTGCGAGTGGCTCTTAGTGGCTCCCTTAGGCAGGAGAATTCGGTCCTACGGTGGCCGACAGTTCCGCTACGGTAACTTCCCCGTCATTTTTTTACTGTTCACGCACCTTCTAGCATCGCATCCGCATTCATCCATTATGTGTATACCGGGCGAGTGGAAATTTCACAAGCCAATGTGAGGGATATGATAGCTCTAGCAAGAATGATGAACCTCTCAGACATCGAGAATTGGGGAGTTAATTTCATGGCCAGCCGGTAAATATTCCCCCTTTTAAATGTCTTATTATCTCCACTACAGTGTTACTTTTGAAAATCTCGCAATTACATGGGACTACGCCAGCTCGATGAACATCGGATCACTGAGGGAGACCTGTATCCATCTGATGAGAACGCAATTTCAAAGCTCTGTTCGTAGTGATCTCTTCGTTTGTCTGCCGGCCGATACGATGCTTGCTTTGCTTCGGGATGACAGCTTACCAGTTGACTCCGAGGAGGAAGTTCTTGCAGCAATTTCGGCTTGGGTGGGTCCTGGCTCAGAAGAGCGTAATGAAAGACTCAAAATGCATGCGCCTACAATGCTAAAGGAAGTCAGGTGGCTTCAGACGACTGTCCAATTTTGCAATCGCCTGATGGCGAGTCACCCCATGTTTCGGAAAAGTGTTCGATGCGCGTACGTGTATACCGTTTAACCTAATTACTATATTTTTTAATAAAAGTTCTTTTTTGAGTCAAGTCGAACAGTGGATGAAGTCTGATGACAAGGACAAGCCCCCCTGTCCATTCAATCGAGATAGAAGACTGGTTTCGAAGCTCTTCGTCTTTGGAAAGGAAAAAAATCAGAACCGGTGGTCCGTCCACCTCTTTGATTCAGACCTACGAAAGACAGAACGAATCGCCGATATGGAATATCGGTATGATGCCTCTTACACTCTCGTTGGCGGTGAGTTGCCTGATAGTTTCGCGCACTTATGCGCATACTTTTAAAAAGTATATAGTTTATACTACGTTTTCCAGAATTAAAACTTCAGTACATGTGTGAGCTTTTGATATGTTGTCTATCTTCCGTCTTATTTATGGGTAACTTTGTTCTGTTTTTATGATTCCTCCACGCAACAGAGGGCATTTTTGTAATTGGAGGTTTTTCTGGAGAAAGTGGTGACACAACGCGCGTCCAAGAGTTTCTCCTGAGAGAACGGCGCTAGTGTGAGCGGGCGCCTCTAACCATTGGACGCCATAGCCATGCAGCCACAGTCGTAAGGGTTGAGCCCACAACGGTGGAGGACGGGGAGAAGACGTTGATTGGCGTTTTCGGTGGAAGTGAACCACTTTCCTGTGCAGTTTATGACATCAAGCGAGACAGGTAAGAAAATGCTTGCCACGTGTGACGCCGCATTTTGCGTAGTTTTTTTTGTGTTGTTCTTCACAGTGACCTCTTCACTGCACCTTTCTCCCCTCACAGCTGGTGTACATTGCCCAACCTATGGGAGGAGCGGTTGCTTCCTGCTGCCGCCTGCCTTCCCGGCGACAATAGGATCTTTGTTTTTGGTGGCGTTCCCTGTCTTAATTCGGTGGAGTTCTGCCAACTTGGAACAAACTGGCAGGAGAGGGCAAACACAACCAGCACCGCTAACTTTTGGATGCCAGCTGCACCCATGCGAACTACACGATTCGGGCTCGCAGCCACAC